GGAGGATCGCGCCGCATCGACGATGCATCGGCGATGCGGCTCGATGTGGAACCCGAGTTTCTCTACGCCGACGTCGCCAGTGCATCACCGACGTTGCCAGTGCATCGCCGATGCATCGCCGATGTATCGCCGATGCATCGGCGATGCGGCGCGATCCCCCGACTACATCTACTCCGCCCCCATGAAAGAGGCCTCTACTTACCTAGGGTCACTCTCGCGTCTCCAGGCGATCAGAAGGCAGGGGCCCCTCTGGCCATGCCCTCCACCCACGGCCCTCCAGAGAGGGCCCCGCCTCCGGGGGATCCAGGGGTCGGCATCTCTTCCTCGGCGGAGGCCAGCGGAAATAAAAAACGGGGCTCCCATTCGGCCACGCGCAGATGGGGGGCAGAGGGAGGGGTGAAGGCTTCTGAGAAGCACCCCTGCTTCTCGGAAGGTGCGGGCCTTGTCTGTAGATGTAAGGCCGGCGCCTTCCAAGAAGCAGCCTCCTTCTAAGAAGCCTTCCTCCCTCCCCTGGCCCCCTTGGGCGCGCCGCCAACTCACACCGAATACAGATACGATGGCGCCGCGATTGCGGCAGGCTTTCAGCTAGCCCCTCACAAGGCCTCCCGAGCCTGACGCAGCAGAGGGCAATGCGACCTCCACCCCCCACCCACCCCAACAACAAGTCTGCCCTCTAGGAGGTGCAGGCGGTGGGGGGTCCAGGGCCTCTGGGACGAGCCATTCGTGTGCCGCTGAGGCGCTGGCAGCCTCCGCGAGCCCCAACCACTGCTTCCTGCTGTACTCCGGGGACAGCGGGCAGCTCGGCACGGGCCAGAAGTCGCGCGTGGGCGACGGGCGATACGCCGCCCCCCCACCGCCCACCGCCTGCGCGTTGGGGGACGAGGATCGACCCTGCAGGGGAGGGAGTCGGCTCCAGGAGGTGTCTGGGCCTTCCAGTTTCCCGGGCTTCGGGCTGCGCGGCCACGGGCACCCACCGAGCGAAAGCCTGGAAGACCCAGGCGGCGGGCGCCCACCAGGCAAGAACCTGGAGGACCCAGCGCCTCCTCCTCCTCCTCCGCCTCCTCCAGCTGGCCTCAACAGGCCCCCCCGAGTGACCCAGAGCGGTCTCAACGCCCTGGCCGCCGCCCCCGGCGGCGCACCGCCCTGGACGACTCGGGGGGCAGCCAGGGATGCCGGGGGGGCTGTCTGTGCACAACCCGGAGCCTCACCAACCTCCACGGGCCCCGTGACCGTCAAGGATCCAAAACTGGTCCTGGGGAAAGCCCCGTGTCCAGGACCCGTCTCCCTCAGGACCTTTTTTCCGTCATGAAAAAGGAAGAGGAGGACTACGACAACGACGACGGCGATGAAGATAAAGACGGCAAAAAAGCGTCGATGGCGGTGCAGACGATGAGGGCGGAGACGCGGACAGGAAGAGGGCCAGGATCAGGACCAGGATGCAGAGGAGTCATGTTATTCGTGCGGGGGGGATTTGGTTTGCACGTGTTCTGTCGAAGACGCTTATGGTGGATCACCGCCGCCTCCTGCCGTTTGGAATCGCCCATGTGGCCGAACGTTGTGGTCAGAGTTCTGTCACGCTATCCGACCATGTGTTTCCCCAGCCGTTGTGGAAACCCTTCGGGGAACACGCGGGGGAGAAGAAGAAGAAGCGGAGGAGAGGGAGGACAAACAGGAGGAGGAGGAGGAGGAGGAGGAGGAGGAGGATGAGGAGGAGGAGGAGGAGGAGGAGGAGGAGGAGGAGAGGAGAGGGAGGAGGAGGAGGAGGAGGAGGAGGAGGAGAGAGGAGGAGGAGGAGGAAGAGGAGGCGGAGGAGGCGGAGGAGGAGGAGGAGGAGGAGGGCTCTTGGGGCATTCTGGGAGCTTCTTGCGGGCCTCTCGAAGGCCTCTTGGAAGCCTCCTTTGGCCTCTTGGGGGCCTTTGGGGGCCTCTGTGGCCGTCTTTTGGCGTTCCTGGCCCGTCTGTCGCCGCCAGAAGCCGTCTTTGGCGCCTCCCTGGACCGACTTCAGGCCCTCTCGGGGCGCTTCAGGGCCGTCTTGGAGGCAACCATGGGCGTCTTGGAGGCCTCTTGGGCCGCCTTGGGGCCGTCTTGAAGGCTTCTTGGGCCGTCATGGAGTCATCTTGGAGGCCTCTGGGGCCATCTTGGGGCCCTCTTGGGCCGTCTTGGGCCGTCGGAAGGCCGAAAAGAAGCAAAAGGTAAAATCCTTCAAAAACCTAAGGAAAATCAATGGCTTGGGCCTCTTCGGGCCCTCCTGGAGGACCCCTTGGAGGCCTTTAGAGCTGTCTTGAGGCTATATTGGGCCGTTTTGGGTGCATATTGGCATATTGGGGCCATGTTAGCGTCTCTCGGGGCCATCTTGGCCGTCTTGGAGGCATCTTGGAGGCCATCTTGAGACATATTGGCCGTCGGAGGGGCCATCATGAGCCGTCTTGAACGGGTGGCTGGCGCAATGGACCGAAGCCCCAGGTGGAGTTCTTGTGGAAAAGAATGGAAACCGAGCCGTCTAGGATTCAGCACGCCAGGCACCCTTGTGGCAAGCCAACAGGGGGCAGCGGATGACGGAAAGCGCGCGTAGCGTGTTATCCGTTAGTCGGGAGACATCCAACCAGTGGGTGGGGGGGGTCGAGGGGGGCGGCAGGCGGACCCACAGACCTACTGGCAAAAGGTTCTTCCCGAGAGACCTCCAGTGGCCTCAAGATAGCCCAGGACGGCCCAAGATGGCCTCCAAGACGGCTCGAGAGGGATAAAGAGGCTTCAACTTTCGCCCAATATGCCGTCCAAGACGGCCCAAGAGGCCTCGAAGACGATCCAAAATGCTTCCAAGACGCCCCAGGAGGCCTCCCAGGATGGGCCCAAATATGCAAATGTCAACGATGTTTCGATGGTGTTTGAAGGTTTCGGGGGTCCTCGCCTTTTCTGCCTCTCGACGCTCCAAGACAGCCCAAGAGGCCCCCAAACATCGCCCCGTGACGACCCAAGAGGCCCCCAAAACGGCCCCAGGAGGGCCCAAGACGGCCCCAAGACGGCTCGAGAGGCTTCCAAGACGGCCCAGGAGGCTCCCAAGACGGCTCCAGGAGGGGGCCCAGACGGGGTACCCGAACGGATTTGTCGGGCCATCCGCCCCGAGACGCCCCCAGGAGACCCCAAAGAGGCCCCAAGCGGATCCCAAAGGGCCCCGAAGACGCCCCCAAGAGACTTCAACACGGCCACCAGGTAGCGTTGAAACCGCCTCCACTATATCCCAACGAACGCGCAGGAGGAGGAGGAGGAGGACGAGGAGTACGAGGAGGAGGAGGAGGAGGAGGAGGAGGAGGACGAGAAGGACGAGGAGGACGAGGAGGAGGAGGAGGCGAAGCGAGAAGGAGGAAGAAGAGGAGGAGGAGGAGGAGGCGGAGGAGGAGGAGGCGCGAGGAGGAGCGAGGAGGAAGAGCAGGAGGAGGAGAGGACGAGGACGAGGGGAAGGAGAGGAGGAGAGGAGAGACGAGGACGAGGACGAGGACGAGAAGAAGGACGGTGAGGAGGAGGAGGAGGAGGAGGAGGAGGAGGAGGAGGAGGAGGAGGAGGACGCGGAGGATGAGAAGAAGGCGGAGGAGGAGGAGGAGGAGAGGAGGAGGAGGAGGAGGAGGAGGAGGGAGGAGGAGGAGGAGGAGCAGGAGCAGGAGGAGGAGGAGCAGGAGCAGGAGGCAGGAGGAGGAGGAGGAGGAGGAGGAGGAGGAGGAGGAGGGAGGGGGAGGGAGGGAGGAGGGAGGAGGAGGAGGAGGAGGAGGAGGAGGAGGAGGAGGAGGAGGCGGAGGAGGAGGAGGAGGGGGAGGGGGAGGAGGAGGAGGAGCGAGGAGGAGGAGGAGGAGGAGGAGGAGGAGGAGGAGGAGGAGGAGCGAGAGAGGAGCGAGGAGGAGAAGGAGGAGCACGAGGAGGCGGAGAAGGAGAGGAGGGGGGAGGAGGAGGAGGAGGAGGAGCGAGGAGGAGGAGGAGGAGGAGGAGGAGGAGGAGGAGGAGGAGGAGCGAGGAGGAAAAGGAGGAGCACGAGGAGGAGGAGAAGGAGGAGACGCGAGGAGGAGGAGGAGGAGGAGGAGGAGGAGGAGGAGGAGAAGACGGAGGAGGAGGAGGAGGAGGAGGGGGCGGAGGAGGAGGAGGAGGAGGAGGAGCGAGGAGGAGGAGGAGGAGGAGGAGGAGGAGGAGGAGGAGGAGGGGGAGGAGGAGGAGGAGCGAGGAGGAGGAGGAGGAGGAGGAGGAGGAGGAGGAGGAGAAGACGGAGGAGGAGGAGGAGGAGGAGGAGTGAGGAGGAGAAGGAGGAGCACGAGGAGGAGGAGGAGGAGAAGGAGGAGGAGGAGGAGCGAGGAGGAGGAGGAGGAGGAGGAGGAGGAGCGAGGAGCGAGGAGGAGGAGGAAGAGGAGGAGGCGCAGGAGTGACGGGGAGTCAGGAGGAGGAGGAGGAGAGGAGGAGGTGGAGGAGGAGGAAGAGGAGGGCGGGAGGGAGCGTGGTGCCACGAGCGAAGAGCGAAGCGCAAGGAGTAATGGGGCCGGGAAGGGAGGAGGAGGAGGAGGAGCCTGGAGCCTGGAGCGAGGAGCGAGGAGCGAAGTGCGATCAGCGATGAGAGAGGAGCGAAGGAGCGACGAGCGAGAGGGAGGAGGTGGATCACAAGGGTGGGCAAACTTCAGACTTAGAGGAGGCCTGCTGCTGTTCTTTTAGGTACCCCTGAAACCTTTAGCATTATCTTTCTTCTGATATTGCTCCTCCTCGTCCTCCAATGTACATGTTTATACCTCACCAGCTCCAGGGTGTTTTTTTCTAGTACGTGCCAGAATTACAGCCGCGAGCTGTAATGTTTTCAGCGCGCACAGGCATGGAGACTCTCATGCCAGGGTAGCGGCGCAATTGCGAACAACAATCCGCCACCGTGCCTCTGGGCACGGAGTGGGCGTGCCCTCAGGTCCTTCATCTAATCCCTGGAGCCCCAGTCCTCAGTCCTGAGGAGTCTTTAATGGGCCCTCAATCTCCGGAATCTCCTTGGGCTTGTCGCGTGCCTCCTGGGCTCTGGGAAATGTTCTCGCATGTTTTTGGTCGGGTTTGCGAGGGCCCGAAGACGGGCCAAGAGGGCTCCACGAGGCCCCCAAGACGGTCCAAGAGGGCCCCGAGTCGCCCAAAGATCTTTCCAAGACGCCCAAGATGGCCCAAGAGGCCTCCAAGACGCCCCAAGAGGCATCCAAGAGGCCTCCAAAGAGGGCCACAAGATGCACAACTCATTTATTTCCCTTCGGTTTTTGACCGATTTGGGCGTTCTCGCATTTTCGGATTTCCGTAAGTGCGGGCGGCCCCCCAGCGGGTCACGAGACCCGGGAAGCAGCCAACACCCTGGAGGAAGCGACGAAGCTCAGCTCCGGCGAAGCGTTCGCCGACTCCCGCCAGCTCGGCCTGAGGGGAGAGAGACCGGGGTTAGCCACTGGGCAGTCATTGCCGAGCACTGCGGGCGAGCGGGAGCCCCCAGACCAGAGCGGATAGGGAACCACGCCCAGCTCTTCGGCTCCACAGCCCCGAGGGCCACCGCGCCCGCTGGGAAAGGACAGAGGAAACCGCAGCGGTGGAGCCCTGCATGGATCTCCGGCGGCAGAACTCCCGCAAGGTGGAAGACTAGTGGCGGGGCCCCAGCGCCCCCGTCCGCTGGTCCCCCTCCACGAGCAGGAGCCCCAGATGTTGTCAGGATCTGGGAGGGGGAGACTGGTAGAGGCCGAGCAACGGGCTTGGAACAGCTGAGACCCAGGTCAACGGCCGCAAGATGCTGGCTTCCCACAGGAATTCGGGGGAGGGCGTGGGATAGGTGGTGCGGGTGCGCCAGCTCCTCGAGCTCAACCCCAGCGGGTAGGTGGCCCAGTGGCCAGGCCGAATGGAGCGGGGTCCCCCCCACACCTCGCGGAACGCCGTTGCGCTAGCGAATGGAGGGGCCGTTGGGTCGCTTGGAGGGAGACTGTAGCGCGCCCTCGGCGGGCAGGCACTCTTCTGCGCCGCCCGGAAGGCCCTGTCTTGTTGTTGTCAGGGAAGCTTGGGGTTATATAATGGGCGCATTGGTGGTGGGGTGGCGGAGGGTGCGCGTCGCGCTTTGGACACTGCGTCTACCGACGAAAATGTCCCCCCCCCCCGCTCCCTTTAGTCATGCACGGCCAGAGCACCAATCCGTCATGTTCAGAGGGCTACCGTAAAACTTGTTGGCTGGAGCCGCGTAAGGATTATGTTCCTATCTCTCTCCTCCCCTCCCGCAGCCGTCTCGGGTTTGGGCAACATGTTGTGTTTCTTCCCTCTCACCCTGCACAGCCTCGGCGTTAGGCGGAGGACGCGCGTCGCGCTCTGGACACTGCGCCAATCGAAAAAAGGTGCCCCTCCTTTCTCCCTTAAGCAATGTACAGCCAGAGCATCAGTCCTTGCTTATCATCTGCCGCTGCATTCGGGTCGACATGGATACAGCGAACGAACATTCAGGCGATTCCGTTGGGAGAGAATCTTTCGACGTGACGCATGAGGAGGAAAAACAGCAGTAGCAGGAGGAGGAAGAGGGGGACAAAGGGGAGTTAGATTAGGAACTGTGGACACGGTCAGAGTATGTAGTGAGGAGCGAAGCGCGAGCCCTGTGGATCGCAAGAGCGGGCGGGCGACAGTAGTAGCAGTGATGCGAGCATTGCCCCTCGCGCGCACTTAGTCGGCCTCTGCCTCACATCCAGCTGGGTGGAACGACGCTCGTGGCATAATCTGGAGGGTTCCTAGCCTCGTGTCTGAGCCGTCTGCTGCGCGGCGCACGGGCGCCGCGGGGAAAGGCGACGGAGGCGAAGGGGGACCTCGCGGCCCGGGGGCCGCCCACCGCCCAGGCACCGCATGGATTCGCTCTTGCTGCACGATTGCCTGCCGAGGCTCCACCTCGTCGTGCCGCCCGCCACCCCCCCCCCCGTGCCATGCTACAGCAGGAGGGGGAGGAGGAGGAGGAGGAGGAGGAGGAGCGACAGCACGAGGACGAAGAGGAGGTTTCAATGCTTTTGGGGGTGGGGGAGGGAAGAAGGAGAGAAAGAGGAGGAGGAGGAGGAGGAGGAGGAGGTTCCTCTGCGCGGCGAGATCCTGACGGCGGCGGTAGCAAATTATACTGTGGACTATCACGCAGACCTGGTTGTTGCATAATATAAGCACACTTCGATGGACGCTTCGCAGCCTGCCAGGGGGAGGGGGGGAGGGGAGGGCGGAAAGAAGGGTCGAGGGGGAAGGGGCCCGTCCCGGCTGCCGGCCGTGCCCGTTTCGTTGCGGCGGTCCCACCGGAGACCGCCATGCGGGGCGAGCTGGTCGCCCACTTTGGAACGCTGCATGGATTTGTGCGTGCATATGGAAGACATGTAAGCATGAACCACAGCTGTCTGTCGCACCGCGCAATTAATTTCGCACCCCCCGGGAGGGGAGGAGGGAGGGGGGGTGAGGGAAGAGGGGGGCGAGAAACGCGTCGGGGGGTAGCAACGGCAGCAGCAGACACGCGGCTACCAACGCGCTCGCGACAGTCCGGGAAGTACGATCACTCATTGAAGCAATCACTTGCCCAGGCCAAGGTGGGTCAGGAGCCCTGCGCCCTCTTCTCGAGAGAACCTTTGGGTGCCTGGCCGTACTTGCGTTCGGCCCGCTTCTTAGTTTAGTGCAGATGGCGGCGATCGCGGTGCAGACGTGCATTTAGAGCTCGTCGTGTTCGCTGAGCCACTCAGCCTGAAGTACATCTGTTTGACTGTCTCGTCATACGCCTTATTCGGCCGGCAACAGGGCACGACGGACTGCAAGGCATCTGACGAGGGGCCCGGTTCCGGGCAGGCGGAGTTGCCGAGCAGCACCACTAGCACTGCAACGAAGCATGGCGGGTCAGGGCCGCTTTCGCCGTGCCCAGACTTCCCCCGGGTACGATCTGCATACTTTGTGGTCTGCGTCGCCACGGCCAGCGCTAGGTCGACGGAGGTCCCAACAAAGAAGCACACGATGGTGACGCCCATGACGGCCCTCTGCTCTTGAGCGCCCTTCAGCCAAAATTTCGTGAGGACAGCGATGAGCTCGCGGATCATGGCTGGCTTGTCATCTCCCCCTTCGGCCTTATTCTTGGCTGGCGGGGCCGCGTCTTGTCCGAGGATGACTTTCCATGCTTCGGCCACATCAGTATCTGAAGAAGAAATCCTCTGGAATATACACTTGCACATGGCAGACATACGAGTCTTGATCCAAATAGCGACGGTCATCGTGACAGAGCGGGCACTATGGGACACGATGGGGGGATGACTTTTCGCACCGTGTTCGGTCCACTCGCCCTCGCCTCCCTGCAGAAACCTCGCCGGAGACTTCTCTTGTAGATGATACTGAGTAATACGTTCAGTAGCACGTATGGCACGACAGCTGATACATGGATTTGTAGGCGTGAGCACATACATGTGCCAGCCAGTGTATGCCATGTCCCCCTTGCCTACTGTGTAACTGGTACACGCGCAGACCTTGAGCTGTGCTAAACGACTGGTTACAGACATGCCCATGTATATCGACAACACCGCACACATAATGAGCACGACCGTCAGGAAGATCAACACCACCAGGACGAAGTGGAGGAGGATGAGGAACATATCCAGGAGGAGGTATGGCAAAGGAGGGAAGACGTGCCCCGATAGTGCCAGCATCCGCCAAAAGAAGTGCATCTTTGATTTCGCTGTCCGTGAACAACCGGAAAGTGTATTGCACAGTTTCGGCAATGTCTTCTGCGCTGGTGATGTTTGCCACCGCGGCCAGGTCATCGGCAAATTGCCATGCCCATTTGTGCGCAGTCGGGAGTAATCGTCCGTCGTCAGACATCACGGGTTTCTTAGCGTCTGCGAGAGTGCCGTACAGCACGGCCAGTACAAGCACGTTGTTGGCAGGACTCTGGATCGACTGCAGCCATCGCGTTCGTTGCACACGGAGCTCCAACTCCGCAGGCAGGAGCTGCGTTCTGCGCAGCACGTCGTGGTTGGACTGAGCCAGGTAAGTTTCGGCGCCGCTTGCGTGATCCATGATACTGCAAGCACCATGAAGGGTTTTGCTGCCAACAACGCAATTGTACTGTCAATGTTTTGGCGATCGGTCTGGTTGAGAACGAAGCAGACGAGTGCACCGCGTGCCGTGCCGTAAACAAGACTCTTGGACATGACGAATGTACATCGTGCGTTGCGGCACTGAGACCAGAGCTTGTCGAACCTGAAGTACGCCTGTCTAGTTACCGCAGCGCGGCGCTCCCTCTTGACAGGAAGACAATTGTCAAATAGGATGCGCGGTCCAGATACAGGGCTGCTCGTTTGACAGTGCCGGGCACAAGATCACGGGTCGAATGCGCCGCCATCGTGCACGCCCCAGAACCTATTCCCGACGAGTTTGACCAAGTTTTACGCTTTGCCGACGCTTTCTTGGCACTCATGCGGATCGATGGAAGCATTGAAGTCGCCGTGAAAGGACCGTACCTTCGTGGCGAAGTCCGCGAGCGCGGTAATCGACAGCGCGCGGTGGGCGCAGGTGTTTCGAGCAACTCCCGCGGTCCGAGAAGCCGAGGCGTCGCGCAGGACTTCCGGCATCCAGTTGCGCCCCATATTAATGGCGCACTGCAACAGTCTATTATCACCCAAAGCAGAGTGAAACGGAGACAGGAACCACGGCCCAGCAACTCCGTCTCCGGGGAGCGTGCCCTGACGAAAGTCAAGCTCGGCGAACCCGTCCAGGCAGCGGAGTCTGGCCGAGGCGCATTGGACGCAAGTGCAAAACATCTGTCTCGTTGCACACGGCCGCCGCGCACTCTTGAAGCTTCTGCTGGTCGGCGCAGGCGAACGCGTTCGACATGTCCAAGAAGGCCGCGACATGGGAGACAACTTTCGAGGCCAAACGGTTGCGGGAGACAAGACGCGCGTTTCCACCGCCCTGCGTAGAAAGCCTTGCCGCGCGCCTCCAAAGTGCGAAGTTGCCGTTGACCGTCGTGGCCCTGTTTCCTGTTTTTCTTCGGCAAAGACAACTGCTCGTTAATGTGCCAGACAGCAGGGCATCTGTCGTCGCCTCCACGTTGACATGTAGCAGTCACATAGCGCGCTGAAACACGTGAGCATTGATGCGATGACCTCCACTGCCAACCCCCCTGGTCTCGCTCTGCCAGCACTCATCGGGGCACACGAGCATGCGCCAGATAGCCATTTGGAAAGACCCATCTGAAGCTTTCGCCCGGAGAGCGGCCCGTCGGATGGTCGAATGGCAGCGCGAGCATCGCGGCATGCCCGGCCAGGTTGCGCCCATGATTCCTGACTCCGCGCGATGGGCTCGGCTGGCTGCATCCAGCGGGCGCATGCTGCAGACAAGTCGACCACGCGGCCGCCCCGGCCTCCTTCGCGCCCCGGCCGGGAGAAATGTTCCACGGCCTCGGCGACCGCGAACGCCGGGGAGCCGACCGCCGACAAAAACCGCTTCTTCGTCCCCAGGGAACGATTTGACAATCTCCGCGAGGTATTCCGCGCGGTTGAAAAAGCCCCCCGCCCCCACGGACGAGGAGGAGGGGGGGGGGGGGCGGGGGAGGGAGGGCCAGCGCAAACCCAAAACGCCTCAATGACTTCGCAGCGCCCCACAAGCGAAGCCACTGGGGGGGGACCGTCTGGAAGAACGACATTTTCAGACCACGCTGCGCCGGCCTTTGGGGGCGCGCGAGATGCATCAGGCGGACGCGACCAACAGTTTATCTTCGTCGAGGTGGCGGCTCGACCGCATACATAGCCATCTTTCTGAACAGCTCGATCGCGAAGTTCGCGCCGTGGCCTTGGAGCGGCGCCCGGGTCTCCCACGCCACCTCGCCGTTCTCCCCGCCCGTCGCGCGCCTCGCCACCTGCCTGCCGAGGGCCCGGGGGTCTTCGACGCCGCCGCCGGGCACCCAGACTTTGCGCGCCGGACAGCGTTAGAATTCCAGGCCCGTTCCACGGAGCAGCCGCGCGCCTCAGGCTTGCGCCGCTTACGACTGTTGGAAAATAGCATCGCGACGGTCATTGCTATTCCGCAGAGGACTGAGGGCTGACTTCCGCGGTGACCTCGACCGAGGCGAAGCTCGGGGTGGCGGTGAATTTTGTCGAGAGCATCCGAGGCTGAGGCCGTGACGGGGTTTCAATATGCATGCATCGCTATCCCCATCTGACACAGCGATATCGAACCCCCATGAGCTCGGCGGCAACGTGGGCCAGAGGCTAAAATTTGTTCGACCACGCCGTCGAGCTTGCCAGACAGCACGGCGCGGGCGAGCTCTCCAGGGCCAGAGAATTTGACAAAAGCAGGGGATTCAGCCAGGGCGGCGCAGACAAAGCACAAGGCCAGTCGCCCCATCTATCGTCTCGCCCCTGGGCGGGTTTCGGCCTTGCAGGCGCTGCTGCTAGGCGACGGCGCCCGCGCGACCAATCCAGAGGAGATGGCGGCCGTGCTGAACAGCCACTGGGCCGCCGTCTCGATGCGAATTTGCCCCAGGAGCGGTTGCACGAGGGCCCCGAAGATGGCGGCCGAGCGACGGGGGAGTCACTGGCTGGCCCTGTCCCAGCCGGGGGGCGGGCTCCGTCTCACTCCGAATTCCTTCGAGTCCGGCTGAGACGGCGGCGCATGCAGCGAAGGGTCACATTGTCGGGGCGTTCGGCACCAGGCCCCAAGGGCATTCCGCACTCGGCACGGCGCCGTCTTGAAGCCCCGTCAGCAGACGTCTTGCACGGGGTTTTCCAGGGTTGTCGCGCCGAGGACGCTCTGGAAAGGCTAGCTCAAGACTGCTAATCGTCGAACCAGAGCCCACTGGCCCCTTTACAGAAAAGGCGGCGGGGCAGACCGAGCAGAGACAGGATCTCTTGGATCCAGGCGGGGCTCGACCGCAAAAAACATCGCGAATGCTTCCAATCATTCGCCGTCGAGCGCTTGTCGCCTGGCCGTCGGGCCCACGCTCGCCGAATGCGCCGCGCAGCTACGGGAGGGCGTATTGCTCTGGCGCTCGACGATCTCAAACATGTCGGTCATCGACGAGCTGGAAGCCGCGATGTTGGAGAAGGGGGCGCACACCTGCTTCTTTGACTTCACGGCGGCATCCCCTTCGATCACGCACGAGTTCCTGCGCGATTTCTTCGCCGCGCTTGGCTGGCATTGGTGATGGGAAATTCGACGCGGGGCTTACGCTGGAACAACTACTGCATGATCTCGCCGAGCGGCGCGCGATTCTGCAGCTTTGTCATGTCCCGGAGAATGCGACAAGGATGCCCTCTGAGCCCGCCTCTCTTCACAGCGGTCTCCGACCTGTACTCGCGCCGCCTCCAGCGGCACTTTCCAGCTGCTACCCGGCGGGCTCGGGCCGACGATCTCGCAATGGTTTTGCCGTGGGCGCTGGAGCACCTTCCCGCGCTGCGCGCTTTCTCCGAGGGGCTCGGAAAGGTGTCTGGCCTTCTGCGGAACGCCCCCAGGTCGCTGGTCGCGCCCCTGGATTCCGTGGACGCGCTCGCAACCCGCCGCGCGTTAGGGTCCAGGGCGCGCGCCCGGGCGGAGCTGAGCGTCGCGGCCGCCGCCAAGCATTTGGGTCTCGCGCTCGGGCCTAGACGGGGGGGGCCCACGGCAGGCGCCGCTCAAGAAGTATGAGGAGCGCGCAAAATTGCGGGGGCAGCTCGGAGCCGGCGCCTGCCTGACCGCTCGCGCTCATCAGGTGCACGCGGCGCCAGTCCCTTCGTTCGCGGGACAGTTGAAGCCGCTCCCCGAGGAGCTTGACGCCGCGGAAGGGAGGGCATGCGCTGCCCTCTTCCCAGGGCCCACCGACTGGATCACAGCTGGCTGCCTGGCGGACCTCCGCCAACTAGGCTTTCCATGGGAGCTGCGGGACGAGCGGGCCGCGGCCACCGCGTCCAAGTCGCGGGCATTCCGCTTCGAGGCGCAGAGCGACTTGCAGGTGCACGCCCGCGCCGGGCGCATGGAGGCGCTCCGCAGCTAGGTCGACAGCACCTTCGCCCGAGAGGCCTGGCTGGGAACGCGGCGTCCTCATTGCTACCCCCTGCAGTTGGCGCGCGCAGATATACAGGTCTCGTTGGACGATCGCCACTCTCCGTGGGCTACGACTGGCTCGGGCACTACAACTAAGACACCTACTTCAGCTCGCGAGCAGCGGCCGCCCGCGCGCACTAGCAGCTTACTTGCGGACCATATTCAATGGATGGTGCACGAGCCACAGGTTCCAGGGCGCAGGCCCTTGCCGGTTCGCTTGCGGCGGCGGCCGAGACAATTTGGAGCATGATGTTTTCTGCCCCACTGTGAAGGCCCTTTTTTCATGAGGCCCACCTCCGTTCTACTGCGTCCGGCCTAGAGCTGGACACTTTTTGGGAACTGCAGGAGTTGCCGATGCAGGTGGGCACCTCTCCGGCCATCCTGTGCCACTGGCAGGGTATTTCACGATACGCGATGCACCGTTTGCACGGGGCCCCCCGCCACGGAGTGATGAAGGCCGCGCAAACCCCTGGCATTTTTAGCAAATTTTGCGGTCACGGCGCCGCTCGTGCTGACCACAGGAATGATCAGGTCTGGCCATATATGGTACGCGTTTCAACTGCAGTGTGTTCCTCCCCCCTCTCCTTTTCCTTCCTCCCCCGCCTCTTGCCCCCCTTCCCTCCTTTCTCCTGTCGCGATGACTGTACTGCTCGGCCGCCAAGGCAGTTCCATACGGGTATGTCGCACTACTGTTTGGCAAGCCATGGGATGATACTGTTCATGGCTAGTTCGTATCCTTCACCATATGGTTCCTCTTTCATACTCTTCCTCCTCCCCCTCCTCCTCCTCCTCCTCCTCCTCCTCCTGTTCCGTCTCCTCCTCCTCCTCCTCCTCTTCCTTTTTCCTTGTTCACCCTGGCTTACGAAACAGCGGCGTTTTATAGTCCGAGCTGCGTGCACACACCGACTAAGAACTTGCAAGAGGTTCCTGTCTTCTTTTGGACTTTCGCACGGGCCCGCTCTACTGTTCAGGCACTTGCGGTAAATTATCTGGTCGGCCTCCGCGGGTGCTAGAGCTGTGTCAGCCTGAGTGCGGCGCGGGATGGCCTCCACGAGGGCCAGCGGATTTCCCCCTTCTCCTGGTGTTGACGCCATGTTCGGCGGGGGGGGGAAAAGCCAACAAACAAAGAAACAACAAAAAGTATGTTGCAAAACATCCTCCCTCCAGGGCCCCTTTGCACAAGTCCCTACAATCTGTTCCATTGATGGACGTGCTCCAATGGAACCCAGCCGTTTGAGAATCTTCAATCGTACAGAAGCACCGTTCTTGGGATTTCAACACCGCAAATGAACGTGACTGCTGCGCCCTGACATTCCTAAATCGCACCAGATAGCCACTCCTGGACTTCAGTACCGCGAATCAACGTGATTGTTGCGTTTTGACAGTCCTAAACCGTGCCAGGGTACCATTCCTTTGATTTTAACTTTTCAAACCCTTGAGACGCCCGCAAACTTTAATCGAATGTGCGCGGCGCAAAAGTTCGAGACTCCTTTTTGTGCAAGGAATCGCCGGCGATCCTTGAAACATGTGCAACTGTTAAAGACGAGCGTGCGCGGCGCTAAAGCGAGAGCCCAATGTTGAAAGGGAGCCACCCCTCGTCTTTGAAACGGCGGTTGAAAATTCCACGTTTCAAGATCATAGGTGTAAAAAGGTCTCCAGCGAAACGCCTGGCCCGCCCTACCAACACTTCTGGGGGCGCGACAGGGAAGAACCATTTTTGGGGGGAGGATGGAGCAACAGGAGGAGGAGGAGGTTTCAGTGAGCATGGGGGGGTGAAGAGGGTGAGGAGGAGGGCCAGTGCAAACCGAACATGCATCAACGATGTCGCAAGAAACTCCAAGCTCCGTCTTCATGGATCTCTACAGGATTTCATTATCGTAAAATCAAATGATACGAGAGAAAAACCCCAATCAGAATTTGTTTGGGGCTATTGGGCTATAGGGCTACGAGGCTATTATAGGGCTAAAGGGCTAAAGGGCTATAGGGCGATAGCGGTATAGGGCTATAAGGCTATAGGGCTACAGGGCACCGGGCACCCGGGCACCCGGCACCCGGCACCCGCCCTGGAAGACAAAGCCTCGTGGCTATTATTGGGCCGTTCTGGTGTGGAACTGTCAACGATTTTCAAGTGTCTGGTCGTGTCTATTTCCATGTCCCGCGCATCATCCACCCGGGGACCGGGCACCCGGCACCCACCCGGGCACCGGGCACCGGTCACCCGGGCATGCCCCCGGGCACCCGGGCATCCGGGCACCCGGGCCCATCCACCGAATCCGGGCCCGGGCACCGAATCGGCGGCGACCCCGGGCACCCGCGGGACCCGGGCACCCAGGCACCTGGGCACCCGGGCACCCGGGCACCCGGGCCCGGCCACCGAATCGGCGGCACACTTCACCTACCCTTAAATCCGCTAGGACCCCTACAAAGGCAAGCTCTGATTGGGGAATGACACATTCGGAGACAATTGATTGAGAATCCTCGCTCGCGCCATAACACAATTCCCTGGGATTTCAAACGCCACGGACAACACATGGATTGCACCATGCACAAAATGCATCACATAATTTGCAACGCGTAGCTTGTAGCACATATACTGCATCAGACCTTGCACCACACAGCTTTCACCACATACCTTGTACCACAGAGGTTGCACCGAGTTGCTGGCGCCTCATAGCTTGCAACACACACATATTGCACCACACAGGAAGAGCTGCACAACCCGCAACACGCAGGCTGCACACCAAGGACGCAAGAGCCCACGCTGGCAAAGATTTGCTTTATGAAGCACAGAATGGTAGCAAGCAGGCAACAAAAAACGTCGACGTCGTCGAGCCTGCCTTGCGCGCCCCGCAGGCTCATCGACGCCGCCCTGGGCGCCGACGGTCCCGAGCTGCACTTCATGCGCACGTGGAGGGAACGCCTGACAACCGAGAGGCTAGAGGCGGAGCGCTCCCTCGGCCTCACGCCAGAGGACTGCCCCCCTTTTCCCTTAAGATTGACGCGCTGCATTTTGTCACGCGGGCGTTTCGCCCAGCTTCGGGCCCCAGGACCCTCGTAGATCGATCTGGCTCGAGAAATACCTCAGACGGATGAGGTTCAGAACGAAACGTGGCCCAACCGCAACCCACGAAGTACCAACCCCAACCGACTGGTACGCATACCAAACAGCGGGAAAAAAGTCAAAATGTGGGATCAATCACAACTAAGATTCTGAGTGCCCAGCATGTTCACACGTTCCAAGAAACCAGTAAAACTCGTATATGTACGCATCCTGGCCAGAGTTGAAATTGTTACCGAATCTGCCTGCGCATTTCCGTGTTTGTCTTAACACTACAATTGTGGTCTGACGACAGTTGCAGTGGCAAACACATAATTATCAGTGGTCGGGGCATCGGTAAGGATGGAGCATTGCAGCACCACTGTCTTGGGGGTGATCGTAATACAATAGCAGCGTAATTCTACGGTAGCAGCAGTAATAGTAGGTAGCCGTGGTGGCGGTAGCAGTTGTAGTTTCCACAAGAACAGTACTACAGTAGCAGGGTAGCTATAACACAATACCCATCGTAGCGATGTCGTTGCGCCGCTTGCATGCGAAATGGGGAAGCGCCGTCACCACACTCTGAGAAGCACACTTGCACTGCAAGCTAGCAATGCAGTGCGCACAATTAGTCATATGAGTAGTAGAGCTGTAGTTTTCGTAGCAGGTTGGTATGCAGCGCACAGGGCGCAAAGCAATGCAATGCAATGCTAGTCCTCGAGTGTTAATTTTGGTCACACCTGTATTCGCAGCACCGAGGTAGCATTAGTATCCGAGGTCGTTAAAAAAAGCAGATCGCAGAGCAACAGTAGTAGATTAGTAGTAGCAGCAGCAATAGTAGCTGCAGCAGCTGCCGCGGCTGTCCCAATGGTGGCATAACTCGCGACACGAGTAGAAGTGTTGATTTAGCATTCGTAGCATTAGAAGTAGTAGTAGCAGCAGCAGCAGTAGTAGTAGCACTAGTAGTAGTAGTAGTAGTAGTAGTAGTAGTAGTAGTAGTAGTAGTAGTAGTAGTAGTCGTAGTAGTCGTAGTAGTAGTCGTAGTAGTCGTAGTAGTAGTAGTCGTAGTAGTAGTAGTAGTAGTAGTAGTAGTAGTAGTAGTAGTAGTAGTGGTAGTGGTGGTGGTGGTGGTAGTAGTACTAGTAGTGGTGGTGGGCGTAGCAGTAGCAGCAATAGTAGTAGAAGTGGTAGTCGTCGTCGTAGTAGTAGTAGTAAGTAGTAAGTAGTAAGTAGTAAATAGTAAGCTGTAAGTAGTAAGTAGCACGTAGTAATAAGTAGTAGTAAGTATTAGTAAGTAGCAGTAATAGGAGTAGTAGTAGTAGTAGTAGTAGTAGGAGTAGTGATGGTGGTAGTGGTAGTGGTAGTGGTAGTGGTAGTGGTAGTGGTGGTAGTATTGGTATTAGTATTAGTAATAGTAGTAATGGTACCCGTAGTAGTAGTAGTAGTAGTAGTAGTAGTAGTAGTAGTAGTGGTAGTAGTAGTTGCTGTTGTTGCTGCTGTAGTCGTAGTAGTAGTAGTAGTAGTAGTAGTAGTAGTAGTAGCAGTAGCAGTAGTAGTAGTAGTTGTTCTTGTTAGTAGTAGTAGTAGTAGTAGTAGTAGTAGTAGTAGTAGAAGTAGCAGTAGCAGTAGTAGTAGTAGCAGTAGCAGTAGTAGTAGTAGCAGTAGTAGTAGTAGCGGTAGTAGTAGTAGTGGTGATATTTGTAGCAGTAGTAGTAGCAGCAGCAGCAGTAGTTGTAGTAGTAGTAGTGGTAGTGATGCCAGTACCAGTACTAGCACTAGTACTAGCACTAGTATTGGTAGTAGTAGGGGTAGTAGTAGTAGGGGTAGTAGTCGTAGTCGAAGTCGTAGCCGTAGTCGTAGTAGTAGTAGTAGTAATCGTCGTACTTGTAGTAGTCGCAGTAGTAGTAGTAGTAGTAGTAGTAGTAGCAGTAGTAGTAGAAGTAGTAGTAGTAGTAGTAGTAGTTATGATAATAGTAGTAGGTATAGCCGTAGTATGATTCGCAAAATTAGCAGTAGTGTGAATTGTAAGGGTCGCATTCGGAAAATTACTCTGGCGAAGGACCCAAGCATATGCGAGACCATAGGTGTTGACTCCAAGGGGGCAACGAAGCGTGTGATGGGCGCGCCGTAACAGACTGGGGGACCCCATGCGCCCGCGCCCACGGAGACAATAGGTGGAGCTCCCCATGAGTCACTAAACGTGTGAGTGGTGCGCCGGAGTGGGAGAGAGGACCCAATGCGTCCCTGCCCACTTAGACTGTAGGCGGAGCTCCTTATGGGGTCACCAAACGTATGAGGGGCGCGCCTTGGGGGCAGGGGGACCTCATGCGTCCGCTGCCACTGAGACCGTAGATGGAGCTCCCTATAGTGTTACGAAACGTTTAAGTGGCGTGCCGAAGTGGGAAGAGGAGGAAGAGGAAGATGAGGAGGAGTGAGGAGTGAGACGCGGGGCGCCGCGGATTCAAAACGATGGTCCAACACCACGGGGCGTCTCGGAACGAATAGTTGTAACAATCGCAGTCCTGGTAGTGGCGGCCGTGGTAGTAGCAGCAGCAGCAGTAGTAGTAGTAGTAGCAGCAGCAGTAGTAGTAGCAGTAGTAAGTAGTAGTCGCGGCACAATAGTCGTAGTCGTAGTCGTAGTCCTAGTCGTAACACTGGAGTGGTAGAGATATATCGAAGGTCTTGAAAGTTGGCTGGGATTGGTTGGTTGGTTGTACGCGACCTCGGATCCCAGGTTCCGACAAAGGCTGAACTCGCACTCGCCCAGGGCTCAGCTCGCCCAGGGCTCCGCTCTTCCAGGGCTCACCTCGCTCAGCGCTGAGCTCGTCCAGGCCCAACTCGCCCCTCCTCGGTCGAGGGAATAGATTCGTCGAGGGTCGAGGCCGCGAGATGGGGGAGGGGTGAGGAGGGGGAGGGGTGAGGAGGGAAGGCGAGGAGAAGGCGGGCGGAGGAGGCCGAGGAGAAGGCTCAAAAAGAACGACTGACTGGGAGCTCCGCAGGCCTCCAGGGGCCTCGCGCTCGAGCCTCGGGGGGCGTCTGAGGAGCCTCCGCGGGGCCTCCAGGCAGCTCTGGAGGCCACGGGAGGCCCAGACCTCCGACGACGCGGTCTCGTCGATCCTGACGACCTTCTCACAGCTGATGGCTGCTCCCAGGCTGGAACTCGGGCTCCAGCTACGGCTCCAGCCCAGTCTCGGCTTGGGCACGGGCTCGAGCTTGATCTCGAGCTCGGGCTCGGGCTCGGGCCCCAGGACTATCAAAAAATTGTTGTGTGACGAAGAAGTGGTCCCAGGGAGGAGGCCCAAACCTTTCTGGGGCCCACAAGCTGACAGAATAAAAAGCACAGCGTAGGAAGAGGCGGAGGATCGAGGATTCAATGTTTGGATGCCGTTGGGCTTTTCTGCCCTTCGGGGGTCGCCCTCGTCGCCACGGTTGGACCCTCCTGATCAGAGCGCGCGTCAAGAGAGAGATATTTGGAGGTCGACGTTGAGGAAAAATGAGGAGGAGGAGGAAGCGTAGAGGGAAAAGGGGGAGGAAGAGGAGCAGAAGCATTGCAAGGAGCAGGAACGACATCATATCGCTATGGCCACCCTCGAAAAGGCACATTACTCCTGCGACGGGCTGCGTAACAAGCAGCCCGCGAAAAGTACGACGCCAAGTACGACAGTTCGGGCGACTACGACACTGAGTGCGACACGAAGCACGAGAAGTACCACGAGACGATACCAAGAGCGCCACCAAGACCGTCGACAAGTACGACGACAATCGCTGCGACATGAACCCGTTCGCGGCCGTTAAGCCAGGCCAGGTTATGATCGACCTGGCAGCGGAGCCCTTGCCGTGCATGACCCAGGCGTGCCTCGGCGAGCAGGTCCCTTGGGCGAGAGAGGACAGTGCTGGAGCGACCTGGTGCTTCCTTCTTCAGTTGACGGAGCCAGCGAACACTACGACGGCCACTTGACCACCTACGACGTCCTCCAGAGGAGGCACGTCCACCAGGTCTACGACGACCACCAGGATTACGATTGCAACCAGCACCGCAAGCAGAGCTTCGACGGCCAGCTTCGAGACCCACCAGCAGAGCTTCACGGCAAGAAGCAGAGCCTCGAAACCCACCAGCCGAACTTCGAGAGCCACTGGCACAACCACGACGGTAAGAGGCATAGCTCAGAAGGCCACAGCTCAGCTTCAAGAGCCACCAGCAGAGCTACAAGGACCACAGGCTGAGCTACTAGGACCACTCGCAGAGCTACGAGGGCCGCCAGTTGATCTACGAGGACCACTAGCCGAGCTATGAGCACGTTAAGCATAGTTTCGAGAACCACCGGCTGAGCTATGAGAGCTACCAGCCGAACGACGAGAGCCATAGGCACCATCTTCCTTGCCCTTGGCTGGAGCAGCTACCTCGACCAGCAGGGGCAACGCTACTACCACCACGCGGCCCTGGACGTGACGCCGCCGTACAACAGGCACGCCAATACACTTGTCGCAGCTGCCTCAAGAAGCCGTCGCGTCATGGAGACATAGACGAGGAAAGCGCCGACGAGAGCGACAAGGAGGGCGACGACGGGCACGCCGAGTACGAGGAGAGCGACGAGCAGAGCGAGGCCCAGCTACGAGGGCCACAAGGTGAACTACACGGTCGACAAGCAGACCTTCCAGGACAACCAGATGAGCTCCGCAGACAAGCTGGCGAGCTTCGAGGGCAACCAGCTGAGCCACCAGGGCCACCAGCAAAAATTCGATGACAACCTGCTGCGCTTCGATGGCCACCAGCAGAACCACGAGGGCACCCAGCAGCGCTGCCAGGGCCACCAAAAGAGCTTCGAGAGCCGCCAGCAGAGCTACGAGGGCCACCAGCCGAGCTAAGCGGACCACGAGCGGAGCTACACGAACACCGAGCGGAGCTTCGAGGGCCACCAGCTGAGCCATTTGGGCCCGCAGAACTACTAGAAACACCCCCTGTTCCTCGAGGACTGTCAGAGCAGCTTCAAGGGTCACCAGCTGAGCTACCACCAGAACTACCAGGGTCACCTGTTGAGCTACGAGGACCACCAGCGGAGCTACGAGGGTCACGAGCCGAGCTACGAGGGCCACCTCGGCCACCAGCTGAGCCACTAGGGACAGCCGCGGGGCTACGAGAGCCATCGCTATAGCTGCGACGACCTCCTGCACATCTTCCAGGTACGCCAGCTGAACTACGAGGGAAACATCATGGGCTACGTTGGCAACTAGCTGAGCTACGAGGACAACCAGCTTTACTACGACGGCCACCAGAAGAGCTTCTACCACGCGATCCACGCAAGATCGCAGCCACCTACCTGAATAAACGGGGCAGTGGGCTCCAGTTGCGGGTCCGTACGACAGAGGCCGTCTACGAGGCGGGCCGCATCTCCTATGACCAGCACAGAGAGCGCTTTGCCATTGCGCACCGCCGTATGAGATGCTTGCTGACGGCCCTACAGGAACTATCCTATGAATTTCGTGTGCCACCTCACGATGATGGCGCGGCCAGCCATCACAATGGGCGCGACTGGCCTGCCTGAAGCAAACAGGCTACGAACCAGCTTATTACACCATAGCGCGCACAACGCTCACTGGTATGTAGAGTACCCCGCATACTACCACGCTACGTCTACAGTGCGACGGACAAGGTGCGCCGTGCACACCGCTACTGGCAAGGTACTACGCAATCGTACGCATCGACAGCATGTTTTGAGTGGCCCTGCCGCTCACCCATTTCCTGCCCTTCCTCCTTTCCGTTGTCATCACTCTTGTCAGCACGTGGTTACTTCCACCCTCCCTCCCCACCTTCTGGAAAGGGCTTCCCAGTGGCGCCAGGGGGGGCTCCCGCACTCGTGTTAGGCGGGCCGCCGTCGAGCGCCCGCGGGCGCGCGAGCGCGACTGGGATCGCCGCGCGGCGTTGCGAGAGAGATGAATGGGGAGGGAGACATGCTAGGTGCGCCCGCGTCATATCTGAGGTCCTACCCCTCCCCATCCCTGACCATGGCGTAGATCCCCTCTCTATTCGCACAGTCAGATGTCGAGCAGGACAAAGATCCCGAGAGCTTGCGCGGTTCATCGTACAGCACGGCATAGCAGGGCGTAGAAGAGCACGGCAGAGCGTAGTATGTCATAGCATGGCGTGGCGCTGCGTACTGAAAATCGCATCACAAAATTACACTTCAAATAATGGCATCGCACAGCGGCACAGAACAGAACATGGCATAGCTTGGCGTTGAAGATCAAATCGTAGCATGGCATAGCATGGCGTGGCACCGCGTAGTCAAGCGCTGCATATCCGAGCATTGCAGTTGAATGGCATCGCACAGCGGAGCACCACATAGCATTGCATTGCATTGCATGCCGTGGCATGGCACTGGAAATAATGACGCCAACGCTCTAGCGGGAGCACGATTCGGAACCAGCAGAAGCGCGGAAATGAGGCCAGCGCTGCAACGGGAGCACGATCCGGAGCGAGCGGAAGCGCGGAAATGAGGCCAGCGCTGCAGCGGGAGCACGATTCGGAACGAGCAGAGCCCGAAAATGAGGCCCGCGTTTCAGCGGGAACAAAAACAAACAAGCAAAAAACGAATAAACAACTCCCGGGAATCCTGTGCGTAAAAAACAGTACGCGGAAGGGGGCGAACATCTTCCGGACGTCATCAGGGGAGAGGGGAGAGTAGCATTCAGATTGCGACGTTGTGGAGGAGAGCAAGAAAGAAAAAAGAGAAGGAGGAGGAGGAGGAGAGAAACGATGCAGGTGGGAGGCTCAAGAGAGTTTGGCGAGGTCTGGTTTTTTTGCGCGCCTCTGGCGAGAGGCCTGCTCTCACCCCTCACCCTCTCTCGCCAGAGGAGTTGAGGAGGTTCTGGGCGTCGCCGGGTCGGAAGGGCCTCGGAGACCGGAGGCTGTTCCAGGTGCGGCTACGCATAAGAGTGACCCTTCGCAAGGGTGACCTTTGGTGCGGGCCCACAGGGGTCCCCCCAGCACTGGCTAGCGCGCTTGGATTTGCCCCCCCGCGGCCCCATGAAGCCGCGCACCCAAGGTCACTCTTGTCCAGGGCCACCATTGCGCGTAGCCCACAGGTGTCCGCGGGCGGCGAGGAGTTCCAGTGGGTGTGCCGCCTGTTCCAGGCCCTGCCCCTTGAGAGACAGACGTACCAGCTCTCGCCAGAGGAGGCGTGGGCGCAGGTGCGGATCGTGGACGTCCAGCGCGTAGAGAACGGCCCCTACAGAAGAAGAATCATCATAAACATACGGTGAGAAACGTTTGCTTGGCGTGTCGCGCCGCCGGTTCCGACCCACAACGCTTCGGTGCGACACGCTAACCACGTCCCGTTCCCCGAGCGCCAACGTCCCGAGTTCTTCCCATCCTCCCGACCCACGCGGCGAAGCGACAAGCCGTCAGCTCGCAGGGCATGTCTTGTCGCCTGGCTCGCCGCCGCGACACGCCAAGCAAAAGTTCCCGAACGTACAATCAAGAGTCAAGGTGCGAAAATAAGAAACAGCTTGTGTTTGGAAGGGCCCCAGGTGTTTCCATGGTTGTTCCTCTGGCGCTGCTCGTGCACGCAGCTTCAAGTGGGGCCGATCATGACAGCATAATGATTGGAACCTGTCGGAGGTCCGCGCGGATTTCTTGCGTCGGCGCTGGGGCCACACCCTCTCTAGCGGCGCCTGCGGCGCCACCCCTGGGGCGCGCGGGAGGAGGGAGGCCCCAGCGCCAGTCCGAGAGATCCACGCGGGCCTGCGGAAGCTTATGATCATGCCGTGCTCCCCAGACCCCCGACGTCATGGTTTTTGAATGACGTGGAGCCCCAGGGGTCTGGACCCCTTCCCTAGGACTGGCTTCTCATCCTGAGCCGTTCTTTGCCGGCCCGAACGCCCAGTGAGGGCCCCCCGAAGCAGAAAAAAGCCAACAATTTCCCACCGTGATTTTTTTCACGACGCGATGGGTCTGGGCTTGCTCCTTCCCTACGAGGAAAATCCTAGAGGCCTCGCGCGGCGCGCAATATTTGTATCATCTAGTCCGCACGCCCCTCCCGTCAGATACGGGACGACGTTCGCGCGGCGATATTCCAACGTGGATCCGGCGTGAATCCGACGTAGATCCTACGTAAGTTCGGTCTCAAGTTGCCGCGCGAGGGCCTCCAGGCTTTTCCTCACAAATCAACTCATCCCAGGCCTGCAACTGGAGGGCAGCACCAAACCCTATCACGACGCCCTGTGCAGAGCGCTGCAGGACCAGGGCGTGGGGCTCGAGCCCGGTGTCCACACCTGCTGGGCCTTCCACGGTTTCGGGGGCGTTCAAGGGGGGGCGGACCAGCGGGGGGGGGGTATCATGGCTGGGGCCATGAAGTATATCAGATGTCATGGCCTCACTTTCTTATCATTGTTGTCATGACTGTTAGTATGATTAACATTAGTGTTGGTATCAGTATTATTCGTGCCATCAAAATTTGTACTAACAGCATTGTTGTAGCTTTAGCGTTAGTAATGTGTGTAGATCTACGATTAGTCGAATCAGTAGTAGTAGTAGTAGTAGTAGTAGTAGTAGTAGTGGTGGTAGTAGTAGTAGTGATAGTAGTAGTAGTAGTAGTAGTAGTAGTAGTAGTAGTAGTAGTAGTAGTAGTAGTAGTAGTAGTAGTAGTAGTAGTAGTAGTAGTAGTAGTAGTAGTAGTGCTCGTATTAGTTCGACTATGAGTATTAGTGTTAGTGTTATTGGTAGTGCTGTTACGTATATAATCGTATAAATAATAATGACATAATAATACTAGTAATAATAATTAGTATTATCATTATAACAACAATAGTAATCGCAATAATAATAATAGTAATAGTAAGTATACGAAGAATAATAATAATAGCAAAACAAATAGCAATGATAACAACAGTAAGAATAATAATCAGAATACGAAACATTCTGAGAATATGAATAATAATAACAACAACAGCCATAGTAGTATGGAATTAGTGTTAGTGTTGTTATGCTGCTTGGCTTTGTCCATATTATCCGTGCCCCTCCTCGGATTATCAACCCTCCTGCGTTGTGTTCCCGCTTTGAATAGAATATTGCGGTCGCAACCTCCTTCTCCCGCCTCCTTTCTCGTCTCCTCTTTCGTCTTACCTCCTGCTTTGTACCTCGCCTGTGCCTGTCTGCCAGCTCGCCTCCTACCTCGCCGTCCTATGTGTTTTTGTTGGGGGGGGCTGCCAGTTCGCCTCTTACACCGCCGTCCTAAGCCACCTCGCCGCCCATGGGGTGGCTGCAATCTGCGAATATGTTTCCAGTTTCGAGGGCTGCTGGGGGGGTCCAGCGAAGTGAATCACAGCCGCCGATCAGAGTGGACCTCGCCATCCATGTGGGGCTGCGAACCGCGAATCTGTCGCCACTTTCGAAGGCTGCTGGGAGGTCCAGAGGAGAGACGCACCGCCGCAGACCCAGATTAGACGTCACTATCCCTGTGGTGCTGCAAACCGCGAAACTGTCGCCACTTTTGAGGGCCGCTGGGGAGTCGGGCGGAGCGACGCCCCGCCGCAGATCAGAGTAGACTTCGCCATCTTTGGGGGGCTGTGATCTGTGAATTTGACACAATTTTTGAGGGCTGCTGGGCCGTCCAGCGGAGAGACGCCCCGACGCAGACCCACGTTAGATTCAGCCATGCTTGGGAGCTCGAAGTGCGACATTGACGCCACTTTTGAGGGCTGCTAGCCGCCGCGGATCAGAGTAGACCTCGCCATCCCTGAGTGGGTGCGATCTGCGAAACTGTCGCCAGTTTCGGGTCTTGCTGGGGGGTTCAGCGGAGTGACGCCCCGCCGCAGACCCAGATTAGACCTCGCCATCCATGGGGGAGCTGAGATCTGCGAAAATATCGCAACCTTTGAAGGCTGCTGGGGGGTCCCGCGGGGTGACGCCCCACGGCGGATCCAGATTTGACCTCGCCGTCCTTGTGAGTGCGAAACTGTCGCCATTTTCCAGGGCTGCTGGGGGTCCAGCAATGCCACGTCTACGTTGATTCATACTAGACCTCGCAACCCCTGGGAGGTTGAGAACTGCGAAACTGTCGCCAGTTTCGAAGGTTGTTGGGGGTTCCAGCGCAGTGACGTCCTTCGCAGATTCCGATCGAACCTCGCCATCCATGGGGGGGGGCTGCAAATTGCGAGGTTGCCGCCACCTTCGAGTGATGCTGGGGGGTCCAGACCATTGACGTCCCATTTAGACTCCGAACAGACATCGCCATCCTGGGGGGGGGGCTGCGGATTGCGAAGCTGTCGCCATTTTCGATGGATGTTGGGGGGGGTCCAACTCTGCGACGTCCTGCTCATATTCAGATTTAGACGTCATTATCCATGGAGGGCTGCGAAACTGTCGCCATGTTCGGGGGCTGCGGCAGCATAGTTTAGCGGGCGACGAAAGGTATTGTATGTATTGTTCCTCCGTCGGGGACGCATGTCCCCCCGACGGTTGCAAAGCTTATATTCCATGGTGCCACGTTGGGGTATACATGTTCCAGCCGCCTTGGGGCAGGCGTCCCCAACGGCGGAAAAGGTTACGGTATACCGCTCTTCGTCCTCGAAATAGTAACGCTTCACGCAGAGTCAAATCAGGCCTGACCATTTTTTTTTTGGGGGGGGGGGGGGCGATTTGCGAAATTGTCGCCAGTTTCGAGGGTTGCTGGGCGGGGGTCAAACACAGTGACGTCCTGCGCATATAAGGTTAGACCTCACCATCCTCTGGGGGTTGCCTATTGTTAAACTGTCGGCAGCTTCGATGGCTGTTGGTGGATCCAGCATAGTGACGTCCTACGCAGATTCTGACCAGACCTCGCCATCCGTGGGGTGGGGGGGGCTGCGAACTGCGAAGCTGTCGACACTTGCAAGGACTGCTGGGGGGCATCATAGTGACGTCATCCGCGGACTCAAATTAGCTTTGCTGTTCTTTCCCGCGCGCCGCCCGAAGACCTGGCGGCGCGCCTGCGGGCGTTTGACTCCCGCACTGAATGGTGCAGGAAGGAAGCGGAGAAGCTCGCGGGCCAGCTCGGCCTCGCTCGCTTCTGACACTAGCTATGGACTGCTGATCTTCTGGAGCGCCACCAAAGCGATATGGCGCGGGCCGCGCTGCTTGTCCAGCGCGCCAGTTGGAAATGATCGCCCCCTCATTACTTATCATGCCTCTTTCGTTGTCGTCCTTTTCATTTTTCTCGACCGTCTCAGTGCTGCTGTCGCGTTAACTGTTTGACACCTTCGTTAAGTGTTTGGCATTTTGTCCGTCCTTCTCGTGCCCCGCGTTCCCACCCCCATTCCTTCTTCGAGCCTGGGGCCTTAGTCATCCCCCTGATGTTGCTATGTTGTGAGTCGTGCAACGCGCGCGCCTCCCATATAGCTCGCACAACCAAAATACAAATCCTATATTGTCATCCGCCGTACCAACTCTTCTTGCCCCTTAATGCAAATGGGTTTGGCACGTCGCGGATTAATGCTTGTTTTTCTTATGCGTGTGATTATTCGCCGCCTTGGGCGCCTATGGAGCCATCTGGGGGCCTTTGGGGGCCCTACTGGGCCGTCTTGGTGTGGTCTTGGGTTTTTGTTGGGCCGTCTTGGAGTGTTGGAACAACGGATCTACATTGATGTTCCGACCTCTGGCATTTGTTAGAATGTGTATATATATATATATATATCGTATCCCATTTCAGAATTTATTACAGAGGCGCTGGCACTCAAACAGAGCACAGCATTTGTGACCCGACTCTTGGCAGAAAGAGCAGACCCATGACCAGCAGAACGGGATAAGTGTAGTCAGCTGGCCTCCGAGGGGCCCCTGGCTTTGCGAAAGAACGAAAGGCTCGAAAAGTCGAGGACCCAGAAAACATTGAAACATGTAATGCACAAATATGGCCTTTCGGGGATATGTTCGGAGGGCTCTTGTGGCGCCACGAACGCATGTTGGGCCTTCTTGGGGCCATTTCGGACGTTTTGGACCGATTGCGCGGCGATCCGAAGCCGTCTCGGAGCGTTTGGGAGGCCTCTTGGGGCTCTTGGGGTTCGTTTTGGGGCCGTCTTGGACCCGAAAAAATCACACGACGAGACGCGGCGCGCCCCAAGACGAGATTCGGCATTCTCACGATGGAGAACTGGGGCTAAAAAGGTCCAGAAAGGATGTGGGGGCACCCCAAGTCGTGCCACCGGGGGACGGTGGCAGATTCTCATTGTTCGTAGTCTTGCTAAAATTGTTATGAAAAGCATTGTTCCCTTAATTCTTGCTTCGGCACGTCCCCTGGCCCCTCCCCCCCCTCATCTGCGCACGCGCGTCGGGCCATAGTGCGGCAACCCTCCCCCTCCTGGCCCCCACACCTCGGCGCGCCCGCAGGCTGCGGCGCCGACGCGAGCGTCATGGACTCCATCGTCGGCAACCCGATCGCCGGCTTCCAGCCGCTGGCATCCGGCTCGCGCGGCGCGTCCCTCTGGGGCACGGGCACCTACTTCGCCCGGGAAGCCAAGTACGTCGTGGACGGCGGCTTCTGCGGCGCGCCGGGTGCGGGCGGCTCACGGCGCGTGCTGCTGTGCCTGCTGCAGCTGGGCACGCCGTGCCTCGGCGACCCACGGCACAGGCCGGCTGCGAGCGGGAGCGGCCTTTCGCCAGAGCGGCCCTTGGCGCGGGCCCACACCCAGGTCTCTGGCCATATGATGTGTCGTTCAGTTCGAGCGTATTTCTTCGATTTCGGCCTTCGACGGGCCACCACTGGGCCCAGGGCCATGAAAAAGGATCCGGAAGGAAAATCGACCTCTGGGAAAGCGATCGGGGCCTCTGAGCTGCGGATTGAAAAATCATCTCGGCGGATGTCTGGGCAAGGGTCCCCCCCCCCAGGATTCGCACCCCCCCCTTTGCGGCCCCCTGATGCCGCGCACCAGAGGTGGCTCTTCTCTTGTCCCAGGCAGGGTCGCTCTTGCATGTACGTTAGGTTCGTGCCGTGTCGACGCGGCGACGACCCTTGCGCGGACGTTCAAGGTGAAGTGCCGCCAGCGGCCGAGAATCGGCCGATACAGAGCGATCTGGCCATCGAGAAGCCGCCGATCGTTCAAGGTCGAGCGATCCACGATGTGTCAGAGACCGACGCCGAAGTCGTCACGGCACGAGCCTGCCACAGCCGATCAGGGGCGTGCTTCCCTTGCGGCCCGCGGTGGCGCCGCACCGGTACAGCAGCTCGGTGGACTCCCTTTCCAGCCCCGAGATCTTCATCACGCAGCACCACGGCGCAGCGCACCCAGCCTACGTGATCACGTTCAGGTAGGCTGGTCGCCGGGCGCCAGTGAGAGTCAGAGAAGGGGCAGCTGAGACAACGGCAGTGAGATGGCCTTGGAGGGAGGTCGTCCCGTCCCCCACGGCTGGACGCAGCTCGCGAAACTGGTGCGTTTGGACTCCGGGAGGGGTCCAGGGACTCATTTTGAGTTGGCGCTGTCTCAACTCACCCTGCTCCGAGAGAGGTATGCAGGGGGTGGGAGGGGTCCGATCGAGGGCATTGCCCATCTCGATTTCGATCTTCCGATGATCCGAGGCGGCCCGATGCTTGCATGGCGTTGTTCTGCACCTTGGCGCGGTCGATCCGATTCGATTCCGACTTCGTGCCGTTGCGGCCCGATCCCACTCACGGTCCGATTCGATCCGATTTCGCGCTTCGGTATTGCTTGATTCATCTTAGGGTGAAGGACGGGTGTGCATCAGCGCCTGCTACATCAAGTGGCCCGCTGAAATAAGCGGCCTCCTCCACATCGCGCTGCGCCGTCTAGAGGACGCCAACTGGCCCCAGGACTCCAGAAACGACCCGCGAGGACGAGCCGTTCCCTGGGATGGGGGTCGACTGCTCTGGGGACCCACGACCCCGGACGTCTCGGGACTCCTGGACGCGCCCTCCCCGGCCCCGACAGGGAGGCGCCCTGATCTTGCAAGCCCAGGCCTGAACCGGCCAGCACCAGAGACCTTGCGTGGACGGTCGGCGTCCACCCTGCGTGCGGCTTGCGTGGTCCCTGCGCGGCGGCCCGCACCCCTCCAGGGTTGCCCCGCCCGCACGGCGGCGGAGGGGCCCTGGCAGAACTCGGCCCGCCTGCTCTGGGGCAGAATTCGGCGCACAGCCTGGCAGCGTTACAGGCGCGCCAGGACTGGCAGGGGAAGGCGCGGCGGGAAAGTCCGCCCCGCCTCCTCGGGTCCAGCTGGCCAGGCATGCTGGCCAGGCGCAACAATGGCGCCCCGGCCCCCGTGCATTTGTCTCGTCCGGCGCGGAGCTTCTGGCGAGCTGGACGTGTGCGCCGCCTGGCCGATGTGCACGGCTGGCTGGTGAGTAGGGATCGAGGCTGGACGCCTGTTGCTCGCGGGGCTTTCTGGACCCCCGCTGCTGCAGGTTATCACGCGCCTCAGAAGCACGAGTGTCAGAGGTGTCGGGCTCAGGCGTCGTGAAAGAGTGGTGGGCGTGCTCGCATGTTGTCACGACACGGGCGAGGTCCGGGTACCTTGACGGTCTGCCAGCTTGCGCCCCACCAGCTGGACTCGTGCCTCAGCCGCGGACGCGACATGTCCTTTCCCCACACCTCCGACGCCGTGTAACACACGGTCCCCAGAGCCTCTCGGCCCTGTCCCAGAGGCTGCTTCTTGCTTATCCATGATGGCTTTGGGGCCCCTGGTGGGCCTCGGGATGCCGAGATTTGGGGAAGAACCTCCAGCAAGTTGACGACAACAACAACGACAGCAACGACGTCAACAACAACAGCAGCAACAACAACAATCATTCAAACATGTTCGCTCCTACCTGCTCGCGTGCCAATCAATACGTATATCCCAAAGCCTCGGTACCCGCCCTCGTCGTCTTCGATCGTACCCCCTTAGGGGGTAGATCTTCCTTACCTGCCACATGAATCTAGTGCAGCCCCTAAAACAGGGGAGAAGAGGACGGTTGAAGGTGGAGGGAGATGGATGGAGTACGACAGAAATTAGCAGGAAGGGGGCAAGGAGCAGAAAACAAGTGGTAGAACCAGACGGGCAGATCGGGTGGGCAGACCCATAGCGGGCAGGTCGGGGAAGCGGGCCCAGGCGACCAGGTCGAGCAGGCGGGTTGCTGAAGCGTGGGTCCTGCATGACACGCGAGGAAGTCTCGAGCGACAGCTCGATTTCAAAATCGTGATAAAGGCCAAAGCGAGAGCGTGATTACTCAGCGCCGAGGGCGCATCATTTGAACAAATTGCGAGGAAGTCCCACGCGGGAGCGCGATTCTTACATAAATTGTCGGGAGCGCGATTCCTTCATGAATTGTGAGGAAGTCCAGCGCGAGAGCGCGAATCTCCAATTAATTGCGAGGAAGTATCAGGTGGGAGCCGTTGTTGTTGCAGTTCGGGGGCCAACAACGCAGTTTGAAGAGGAAGACCTTCCCTGATAAAAAAAGTTGGTGCGAGCCCCAGGAGGGGCACTTCAATTGAAAAACGCATTTGTTACCAGAGGGGGGTCAACAACAATTATGTTTCAGAAATGAGGGTACAATCATTTAAGGACTGCTCGCTCGTATCCGCTCGCGGGCCACCCAGCATGTATACCCCAGACACTCAATACCCGTCCGTTTCGTCTTCGATCGCACCCCCTTAGGTGTATATATCTTTCTTACCTGCAACGCGTATTGGTTACAGCCCCATAAGGCAGGGAAGAGAGGACGAATTGAAAGAAGGGACAAGGGGGAGGGAGAAGTGTGGAGCACGAGAGAAAGTAGCAGGAGCGGGACCAGCAGCAGAAAACACGTGGCGGAACCAGACGGGCTGATCGAACGGGCAGACCCTAACAGGCGGGTCGGAAAGGCGGGCCCAGGCGGCCAGGTCGAGCAGGCGGGTTGCTGAAGCGTGCGTCTTGCATGATTCGCGAGGAGGCCTCTAGCGATAGCGCGATTACCACATGAATCGTCAGGAAATCCACAACGAGAGCGTGCTTCCTGAGTGTCGAGGGCGCGGCGTCTGAATAATTGGCGAGGAAGTCCCACGCGAGAGCGCGATTCTTGTATTAATTTTGGGGACGTCCCGCGCGAGAGCGCCATTTGGGAATACATTGTGAGGAAGTATCACGCGGGTGCCGTGTTGTTGTTGTAAACTTAGGGCCAAGGGCCCACTTTGGTGACCCTTCGCTTTCCCTTGTAAAAAACAAGGTGCGAGCCCCGCGAAAGGCACTCGGATTTAAAAAGTACAATGGCTACCGGAGGGGAGGGGTCAACCAGGGTTTCTTTTTCCAGAAATGAGAATTCAACGATCATGTTAAAATTGTTCGTTATTTCCTGCTCGCGTGCTACTCAACACGTATGTCCCGAACCCTCGGTACCCGGCCTCTTCGTCTTATCGTACCCCCTTCTTTACTTGCCGCGCGTAATGTGTGCAGCCCGTGAAACAGGGGAAGAGAGGACGAATGGAAGGGGCAGGGGGAAGGATGGAGCACGAGAGAAATCAGGAGGACCAGAGCTAGGAGCAGAAAAAAAATTATAGAACCAGACGGGCACATCGGGCGGCCAGACCCATAGCGGGCGGGTCGGGAAGGCGGGCCCGGGCGGCCAGGTCAAGCAGGCGTGCTACTGAAGCGTGGGTACTGCATGAATCGCGAGGAGAGTTCGAGCGATAACGCGGTCCCAAAGCAAATCGTGAGAAAGGCCACAGCGAGAAAATACTTTCTGAGCGTCGAGGGCGCATCGTCTGAACAATTTGCGCGGACGTCCCACGCGGGAGCGCGATTCTTACATTAATTGTGAGGATCCCCCGCGCGAGAGCGCGATTTTGGAATGAAAGTTGGGGTAGTATCAGGGGGGCATTGTTGCCATAGTTCGGGGCCCAATAGCGCAGCTCGGAGGCACCAGGGTTTCCTTGATAAATCAAGGTGCGAGCCCCGAGGTGGGCATTTCATCAAACAAACAAAAAAGTGCGACCCTACCTAGGAGTTGGAGCCTCTAGGAAAGCAACATTAGTAGGAGTTGTCCGTCTGTGGGCTTAAGATGGCCCACAGACGGACAACATGCATGGAACATACGTGCGCACACATATATATATATATATATATATATATATATATAAGTGCATATACCTATATATATATATATATCGCAGCAATAGTGGATGCTTTGTTGCGCTATGCTCTGCTATGCTATGCTATGCTATGCTATGCTGCGCAATGCTATGCTGGGCTAGGCTCGGCTAGGCTATGCTATGCTATGCTGCGCTATGCTATGCTGCGCTATGCTATGTTATGATATGCTATGTTATGCTATGCTTTTGCTTTGCCTTCGTGTTTGCCTTCACTTTTGCCTTTGCTTTTGCCTTTGCTTGGCACCCAGGGAGCGCAACTGGGGGAACCGCGCGTTTGCTTTTACCTTTGCTGTTGTTTTTGCTTGGCTCCCAGGGGACTGGGGGAACCGCCCGGGGCGGTTTGCACCGCCCGGCCCCTGTAAGCCAAGCGAGCAAGAACACTTCTAGGCAGAGCCTAGGTAGGGGGAGATAAAAACAACAACCAACAAAAAAACAATTATCCCAGTGCGACCCTACCTAGGAGTTGGAACCCCTAGGAAAGCAGCATTAGTAGTAACAGTAGCGCTAAGCTAAAGCTAAGCTAAAGCTAAGCTACAGCTTAGCTAAAGCTAAGCTAAAGCTAAGCTAAAGCTGAGCAACAGCTAAGCTAAAGCTAAGCTACAGCTAAGCGAAAGCTAAGCAAAAGCTAAGCTAAAGCTAAGCTAAAGCTAAGCTAAAGCTAAGCTACAGCTAAGCTCAAGCTAAGCTAAAGCTAAGCTAAACGCTAAGCGAAAAGCTAAGCGAAACGCTAAGCTAAAGCTAAGCTACAGCTAAGCTAAAGCTAAGCTAAAGCTAAGCTAAAGCTCCCAGGGGGCTGGGGGGAACCGCGGGGCGGGGACTGGGGGAACCGCCCGGGGCGATTTGCACTGCCCGGCCCCTTTAAGCTAAGAGAGTAAGAACGCTTCTAGGCAGAGCCTAGGTAGGGAATTAAAAAAACGATTAACGGAAAGGGGGGGATACACCATAATCGCTGCTTACCGAAATGGCCTGGCAACAACAACAACCACCACCACAACAGCAACAACGATAACCACAACAACATCAATGTTACAAGTGTTCGCTCTTACCTGCTCGCGTCCGACTCAACACGTATATCCCAAACCCTCGATACGCACCCTTTGCGTGTTCGATCGTACCCCCATAAGGGGCGTATCTTTCCTACCTGCCACGTGTATTTCGTGCAGCTCCTAAGGCATGGTAAAAGAGGATGGATGGCACGAGGGGACGAGGGGCAGGTGGGTTGCTGAAACGTGCGTCCTGCATGAATCGCGATGAGGCCTCGAACGATAGCGCGATTCCCAAGTAAATCGGAAATCCACAGCAATAGCGTGCTTCGTGAGTGTTGAGGGCGCGGCGTTTGAATAAATGGCGAGCAAGTCCCACGCGGGAGCGCGATTCCTGCATAAGTTATGAGGAAGTCCCGCGCGAGAAGGCGATTTGAGAATACATCGTGAGGAAATGTCAGGCGGGATCAGTTGTTGTTGTTGTTGTTGTAACTCGGGGGCCAGGGGCACAGTTTGGTGGCACCCAGCTTTCCCTAGTAAAGAAACAAGGTGCGAGCCCCAGGAGAAGCAATTTAACTTCAAGATGCAACGGGTACTGGGCAAGGGGATCAACAATAGTTATTAATTCGAAATGAGAACTCAACAACAACACAAACAATAACAACAACAACAACAACAACAGCAACAACAACGACAACCACAACAGCAGCAACAGCAGCAACAACAAGCATGCTGAGACTGTTCGTTCCTATCTGCGAACGTGCCATCCAATACGCATATCCCAAATCCTCGATGTCTGCCCTCTTCTTTTTAGACCGTACCCTCTTGGGGATAATTATGGTTTTGCTTACGGGCATCGTGTTTTTTTTTTTCGCGCAGCCCCTAAATCAAGGGAAGCGAAGACGGGTGGAAGGGGGGGAGAAGGATGGAACACAAGAGACATTAGCAGGAGGGGAGCAAGGAGCAGAAAACAAGTGGCAGAGCCAGACGGGTAGATCGGGTGGGCAGAACCAAAGTGGGTGGGTCGGGAAGGCGGGCCCAGGCGACCAGGTCGAGCGGGCGGGTTGCTGAAGCGTGGGTCTTTCATGAATCGCGAGGAAGTCTTGAGCGACAGCGCGATTCCCAAATTTATCATGAGAAAGGCACAAGCGAGACCGTGATTCCTGAGCGCCGAGGGCTCATCGTTTGAATCAATTGCGGGTAAGTCCAAAGCGAGAGCGAGCTTCTTCCATGAATTGTGAGGGAATCTCCCGCGAGAGTGCGATTCTTCAATACGTTGTGGGAAAGTCCCTCGCGGGAGCGCGATTTTTGTATAAATTATGAGGTAGTCCCGTGCGGGAGCGCGATTTGGGAATACATTGTGAGAACGTATCAGGCGGGAGCCGTTGTTGTTGTTGTTGTAAAACGAGGGCCTACAACCCAATTCTGAGATTTTAGATGCTCCTTGGTATAAGATGTCGTTCCCCGGCAAGGGCACTTCAATTGAAAAAACAACAGGGCATTGAAGGACGGATCAAGAATGATTATTTTCAAGAATTAATACTTTCAAGAAATGAAAACTCAACAACAGCAGCAGCAACAACAACTAGCATCAGTTCGAGATTCTTCGTTATTTCCTCGCGTGCCACTGAACATGCACATCTCGAACCCTCGACACCCGTCCTCTTCGTCTTCGACCGTACCCCGTTGGGGGTATATCTCAATTACTTGTAGCGCGTATTTATGCAGCCCCTAAGGCAGGGGAAGAGAGAACGGATGGAAGGACGGGACAAGGGGGAGGGAGAAGGATGGAGCACGAGAGAGACTAGGAGGAGGGGGGCTAGGGACAGAAAACACGTGGCAGAACCAGACAGGATCGGACGGGTAGACCCTACCAGGCGGGTCGGGAAAGAGGGCCCTGGCGGCCAGGTCGAGCAGGCGGGTTGCTGAACCGCGCGTCATGCATGACACGCGAGGAAGTCTCGAGCGACAGCTCGATTGCCAAATCCATCGTGAGGAAACCCACAGCGAGAGCGTGATTCCTGAGTGTCGAGGGCGCGGCGTCTGAGTAAATTGCGAGGACGTCCCGCGCGAGTATGAGGAAATCCCGCGCGAGATCGCGATTGTTGAATACACTCTGAGGAGGTATCAACCGGGAGCCGTTGTTGCTGTAGTTCGGGGCTCAACAACGCAGTTTGAGGAGGAAGTTTCTCGAGTTAAAAACATGGTGCGAGCCCCGGGAAGGGCACTTCAATTGAAAACACATGTCACGGGAGAGGGATCAACCATATTCATGTTTCAGTAGTGCGGGTTCAACAACAACAACAACAACAACAACAACAGCCACCACAACAACATGAACAACAACAAGAACAACAGCACCGACGACGACGATGACGACGATGAGGATGACGACGACGATAACGACAACGACGACAACAACAGCAACAATTATGATTTTAAGACTGTCCGCTCTTATCTGCCCACGGGCCATTCAACACGCATATCCCAAACACTCGATACCCGCCCTTTTCGTTTTCGATCGTACCCCATTAGGGGTATATCTTTCTTGCCTGCAACGTGTATCATGTGCAGCCCCTAAGGCAGGGGACGAGACAACGGATGGAAGGAAGGGACAAGGGGGAGGGAGGAGGATGGAGCACGAAACAGGGAGTAGCAGGAGGGAGGCTGGGAGCAAAAAGCACGTGGCGGAACCAGACGGGCAGGTCGGACGGGCAGACCTGAACGGGCGGGTCGGGAAGGCGGGCCCAGGCGGCCAGGTCGAGCTGGCAGGTTGCTGAAGCGTGCGTCCTGCATAAATCGCGAGGAAGTCTCCACCGACAGCGCGATCCCTGCTGAACCGTGCGTCCTGCATGACACGCGAGGAAGTCTCGAGCGACAGCTCGATTTCCAAGTAAATCGGGCGGAAATCCACAGCGAGAGCGTGATTCCTGAGTGTCGAGGGCGCGGCGTCCGAGTAAGTTGTGAGGAAATCCCGCGCGAGAGCGCGATTCTGGAATAAATTGTGAGGAAGTATCAGGCAGGAGCCGTTGTTGTTGTAACTCGGGGGTCAGCGGCCCAGTTTGGTGACACCCAGTTCTCCCTTGTAAAAAACAGCATTTCACATGAAAGATGCGATGTTTACCGGAGGAGGGGAGTCAACAATAATTATTTCCAACTTTCTTGCGTTTGATATTCGTTTTGAATGGAGCACTGCGGTCGCACGCCTCCTTCCCTCCCGCCCCCCCCCCTCCCTTTTTCTCCTGCCTCTCACCTCGCTCCGTCCTGCGTGCCAGTTTGCCTCCTTCCTGGCCATCCCTATGTGGGTGCGATCTGCGGAACTGCCCCCATTTTCGAAGGTTGCTGGGGGGTCCAGCGGAGTGACTTGCTACGCATATTCAGATTAGACCTCGCCATCCTTCTGGGGGCGATACGCGAAACGCTCGCCACTTTCGAAGGATGCCGGGGGGTCTAGAGGAGCGACGACTCGACGTGCTACGCAGGCTCACACTACACCTCGCCATCCCTGTTAGGCTGTGATTTGCGAAACTGTCGCCACTTTCGAGGGCTGCCGGGGGGTCCAGCGGAGTGACGTGCTACGCAGATTCAGAGTAGACCTCTCCATCCTTGTGGGGGTGCGATCTGCGAAGCTGTCGCCACTTTCGAAAGCTGCTGGGGGGGTCCAGCGGGATCACGTGCTACGCAGACTCAGATTAGACCTCGCCATTATTGTTGGGCTGCGATTTGCGAACCTGTTGCCACTTTCGAGGGGTGCTGGGGGGTTCAGCGGAGTGACGTGCTACACAGACGCAGACTAGACGTCGCCATCTTTGTGGGGGTGTGATCTACAAAATTGTCGCCACTGTCGAGGGCTCCTGGTGGGTCCAACGGAGTGACGTGCTATGCAGACTCAAACTAGACCTTGCCATCCGTGTGGTGCTGCGATCTGCGCAACTGTCGCCACTTTCGAGGGCTGCTGAGGGGTCCAGCGGAGCGACGTGCTACGCAGACTCAGACTAGACGTCGCCATCCCTGTGGGGGTGCGATCTGCGAAACTGTCCCCACGTTCGGGGACTGCTGGTCGGTCCAGCGGGGCAGTGTCGCGGGCCGCCCGCTGTTCTGGCGGTGCGCCTTCGAGCGTTTAGCTCCAACACAGAAAAGTGTAGGAAGGAAGCAGGGAAGCTGGCGAGCGAGCTCGGCCTCGTTTTTCTTGCACAAACTACACGCCGGTTGAATCATGTTGTCGAGCGCCGCGGCGACATGGCGCAGGCAGCGCTGCATTTTGAGCGCACTACCGACAAGACCAACACTCTTCGGCTTCCTCCCTTCACTTTCGTCGTCGCCCCCTGCCCCCGTGCCACCTTCCCTCTGCTGCTGCCGCGCTGACGGGTCGGCCCCCCACGCGTCTTTCTCTTGCCTTTCGTTCCCGCCCCCATGTCATCCTCGAGCCTGGGCCTTCGCTCCTCGTCCTTCTGTTGTTGTCCTGTGAATCGTGCCACGCTTGTGCATCCCATGTAAATTCCCTAACATATGGTGGCGCCTGCACTGTAAGTGTGCTGGAAGGTCTGGGCCAACTCCTTTTGTCACTTGATGCAGATGGCAGATGGGTCGGGTACGTCGCAGGGTAATTCTTTAGAAATGAGAATTCAACAACAACAACAACAACAACAACAGCAACAACAGCAACAGCAACAACAACAATAGCAGCAGCAGCAACAACAACAACAATCATTGTAAGACTGTTCGCTCATCCGTAGCCATTTTGGCTCAAACTATTTTGGCTCAAGCCATTTTGATTCAAGCAATGACGCTGAGCGTGCCGCTTGTCGCCTCGCTGCCCATCTCTCTTTGAAACCAATGCCCTCGCAAGTCCTTAAAATACACTGCAAGCCAAGTAAGTACTTCAGTGCTGGATACATACTTCGCATCCTCTGTTCGCATGTTGTCCTCCCCCTTCTTTTTTTGTTGTTGTCGTGAAGCATGGCGCGGGTAAACTCGTCAATGCATGGTCGTCCGGGCTTGCTTGCTATCCAAAGTTCTGGTGCCACGGGTCCGTCCCGATGTCATGTGTTCCTAATTTGACTGGTCAGAACAATGTGGTTGGTCAGAGCACTGTGACTGCTCAGAGCACGGTGACAGGTCAAGACATGGAGCAAGTTCGTAATGTGACTGGTCAGGACAATCTGACTGGTCAGAGCATTGTGACTGCTCAGAGCACGGTGACAGGTCAAGACATGGAGCAAGTTCGTAATGTGATTGGTCAGGACAATCTGACTGGTCAGAGCACTGTGACTGGTCAGAGCAATGTGACTGGTCAGGACACGGAACGTGTTCGTAATGTGACTGCTCAGAGCATTCGGGCATGGCCACGTCCGCTCACAGTTTTCTACCATGTGTTTCAAAGCAATAGCGGGGAAGAAGCCGAAGATTTGACAACTTCCATTGTCACAGAACAATTGTCTACGATGCGGTCCTCGAAGGCTTTCGGCCAAGGCGTGAAATTGATGTCAACGTTCATAGGCCCTAGGAACAGCGGCGTGACAGCACTGCTCGAATGTCCCACGTGCCAGTTGCTGGAGTCGTCACAGACTGGGGACGAGTCTTCTACACTGCAGCACCTTCATGATTACTGTTCCAAACACCACTCCGAGCGTGTGGTGTACATGCATTCCAAAGGAACTTTCCATCCAGGTCCGTTTAACAACAATATAAGGCGATTCCTCATGAAGGGAATCTGGTCCGATGCGTGTCATTCTCAGGACATGTTCCAAAAGTGCACCGCGTGTGGCAGCCGCTTCAGCCCTATGCCGCACCAGCACTATCCAGGGAATATGTGGTTGGCCAGATGTGATTACGTCTCCCGCCTGATTCCGCCCTTGAAGTTTGAGTCGGCCATGGCGTCGGTTGTGCGGACCGCCGTCGAGAAAGGCGTGCTGTCTGGCTTTCTCAGGCATTCATATTTTGGTTTGGATCGATTCTCTGCGGAACACTGGTTGGGCTCGCATCCGAGCCACGCTCCTTGCGACGTATGTGGCAATCCCAGTTACACTTGGGATTTTAGGAATCATCCTGAATTTCGACAGGAACACTATCGGGTGACTTGGGCCCCCAAGCTGTTCGCGGATCCGAGGCCAGGCATGCCGTTGCGCGCTTTCTGTCACTCGTGCGGCAAAGTCGGAGCCATATGCAACGTGACGAGATTGAAGTTGTGGCGGCTTTTCGAGTGGGAGTTCTTGTACCCCGACCATCAATCACAGAGGGGCGCTTTGTGGGAGTATTACCGCGCAGGCGCGGGTCTCTGCGGATGATGGGTGGATACTAGCATCGACCTTGTAGTAGCATCGACCCCCGCCATAGCGTTTGTCGCCTAGATGTAGAGTAAAGGTCAGACATGCTTCGGGTTCTCGCTTTGCAGGCGCAATACAACGTGCGGTTCCCGATTGAGTGAGCATTCTGGGTTAAATTGGAGCGCGCCGTCACCTGTTGCCGCAGCAACCTGATTTTTTCTTATGGATTGTAATGCATTGTGTCCGCGGGCAGAAACCCCAACAAATCTGCGCGCAAAGGCACGCCGTGGCGTGTTTCTGCCTCAGCCCGATGCATTTTTAGCGGTGCACTGGTGCAGCACATGCGAATCATTTGTATCCAGCGCACGCCGTTCACCTGAACACTGCATCCGTCATGGTTCTCCTTGCCGAAAAAATTTAAGGCTGTTCGCTCATATCTGCTCGCGTGCCACTCACCACGTATTTCCCTAGCCATCGATACCCGCCCTTATCGTCTTCGATTGTACCCTTTGGGAGGTATATCTTCCTTACCTGCAACGTGAATTTAGCGCAGCCTTTTAAAACAGGGAAACAGAGGACGGATGGAAAAGGAGGGAGAAGGATGGAGCACGAGATACATCAGCAGGAGGGGAGCCAGGAGCAGAAAACACGTGGCAGGACCAGACGGGCAGATCGGGCGGGTAGACCCTAACGGGAAGGTCGGGAAGGCAGGCCTTGGCGGCCAGGTCGAGCAGGCGGGTTGCTGAAGCGGGCGTCCTGCATAAATTGCGAAGAAGCCCCACGCGAGAGTGCGATTCCTGCGTATTTGTGAGGGACGTCCCGCGCGAGAGCGCGATGTTGCAATACATTGTGAAGAAATGTCAGGCGGGAACCGTTGTTGCTGTAGTTCGGGGGCCAGTGGGCCAGTTTGACCCTCAAGCTTTTCCTTCGTAAATTATCATGGCGAAATACCCAACCATATGCAGCTGTGAGTACCGTCGTTTCGGGTATCGCCTTCGGGTGATTTCCTCATGGGGCCATGGAGCATGCGAAGGGTGTACCGATGTGGGGCAGGGCCGCCATGTGGGCGTCTCCACCGGCGCAGAACGCACTACGGGGCCGCGAAAAATGTGAGCGGTGCGACACAGTGGGACAACGAAACAATGTAATGGTGGGGCAAACGCATGCGAGTACAGCCACCAGGCTTTCGCTGCAGCTCCCAATGATGCCACGAAGCGCTGTGCTGGGTGGGGGGAACGCATGCGAACACCGCCACGGGGGCCTTCGGTGGAGCTCCCTACACAGCCGGGAAAATATAACAAAACCAACAAGACGATCTTCGTGAATGGCCTGCTGACGGCAACGCCCAAAGATGATCACTAAGTGATACTAGCCTTTCAATGTTGGCCGCGCGCGCAGTCGTGCACGATGGGCCAGGTCGTTGATATGCCACATTCTGGCTGGCGCGCCCACAGGCAACATTAGGAGGCGGACGCCACTTAATGCCCGGGTGCTCTTCCAAGTTCATCTTTCGCATGGCCGCTGGCGCGGGCGGTTCAACGTTCTGTCTTGCGGTTTCGCTCCCGCCAATCGGATGACGAACGTGCGACGCGCAATGCAGACGGTACGTTTTTCCGTAACATCGACAGGCGGATGTCATGTGATGCGACGGGCCCCGCCTGGTGGGATTCAAGATTTGTTTGCTACCATCCCTGTGCCACTTTTGTTATATATAATATAGTATAATATAACATAATATAATATAATATAATATAATATAACATAATATAATATAATATAATATAATATAGTATAATATAATATAATATAATATAATATAATATAATATAATATATATATATATAATATAATATAATATATACAGGGGGTGGGTAAATCTGCTGAGGTATTGGGTTTCCGCGCGATTCCCTTTCGTCTTTTAGCGTGCCGCGCTGTGGGTCATGTGGGACGCGTGAAACTTGTGCCCTGTGGGATTTGTGCGACTTGTGGGATTTGCGAGACATGCGGTACCTGGGCGACTTGCGGGATCAGTGGGTTTTGCGGGTCGTGGGCGGCCTGTGGGACCTGCGAAATTTGTGGGAGCTGTGGGGCCTGTAAGGCCTGTGGGACCTGTGCAAAACGTCGGTCTTGTTAGGACCTGCGAGAAACTTGCGGGCCTCGCGGGATCTATAGGGTTTGTGGGACCCGCGGGGCCTGTGCGACCTGTGGCACCTGTGGGACCTGCGAGACCTGTGGGACCTGCGAGACTTGTGGGGCATCTGGCACTTGTGAGACCTGTGAGGCCTGGGGGACTTTTGGGGCTGACGAGACCAGTGGGGCCTGTGAGGCGTTGTCCAACGAACCACCGTGTTGACGATCCGGCGGGGGGCGGGTTCTATTATGTAAATTCACACACGCGGTGCAGTTCAGGTTGCCCCGCAATCGCACTTAACGATCGGGCGGGTGCGGGCTTAGCGTGTAAATTCATACACATAACGCACTTCGCGTAAAGTGGCGTGCCCCGGCGCGCCCACTTTACGATTTTTGGTTTCCGCGTTTGGTGTGTGAAATAATTGACGGGAAGCATCCATCGTAAAGTGGGAATTGTACTTTAACAGAAGATAATTGTTTTATCAAACAGTTCCACTTTACGATGGGTGCTTTCCGTTTTTTTTCACACACGGAACGGGGAAAAAACATATCGCACAGTGGGCACGCCGGGGCACGCCACTTTACGCGAAGTGCGTCCCGTGTGTGATTTTAGACACTAAATCTGCCACCGCCCGACCGTTAACTGGAGTCCTTCGGCAACGGGAAGTGCGTCCCGTATCTGAATTTGCACAGTGAACCTGAACCCGCCCGCGTCCAATCGTTAAGTAGTTTCGCCTGACATCGAACACTTGCCGCCATGAGCGGATTTTCAAAGTGAGCCCGCTCCCACCCAATAGGGAGTTGCGTCCGACAACAACGGGCGGGTCCTGGGCCCCAGGCCCCGAACGCAGCCGTTATTGCCAGGAACGGCGGGCGACGACGACGACGACCACGGCGACGTCGACGACGACGACGATGACGAACACGACGACGGCGACGATGACGACGACCACGACGACGGCGACGATGACGACGACCACGACGACGACGACGGCGACCACGACGAAGACGACATGCGTTCTCGCCACATCGCCAGCCTCTGCTCAGCTCCCGCTGCTCCGCCGAAACATCATCAGCATCCCCACCCGCCTCTTCCTTCTAATCCTCCTGCTCCTCCTCCCTCCTCGTTTCCTCCTCCTGCGCATCTTCATGTTCTTTTGCCTCGCGCTCCCCCCCCTAGCCTCCTAGGAAAGCCGCGGCAGACCGCGGCAGCCGTCCGGGCACCATTTTATGTATCAGGGACCGCGCGCTTCCCATTCCATCTGCCCGAGCGGCAGAGGTAGCCGACGCTAGTAGGCAATTGCCGCCAGAACGAGTGGCGCACGCCCAGACAGGTTCGACATCCACACAGCCAGGAAAAATTTAACAACATCAACAAGACGATCATCGTGGATGATTTGCAGATGGCAACGCCCAAAGAGGATAATTATTTACGCTTCGCGTACCCCCACCAGCCCATCTCACAGCAGCACCTCTTGTGAAGCATGCCGACAGTGGTGTGTGTCAGGCGTGTGTCCGCTGGGCTCCGCACAGTTCCCCTGTTCCTCCTTCCTTTCGCTTCCGTGTAGTGGTAGTAGTAGTCGTAGCAGTAGTAGCGACACGACAAGTTTCAGTGGCAGTAGATGTAGGTGTCGTGGTAGAAGGAGTAGTGCTCGCAGTAGTAGTAGTAGTAGGATTAGGAGGCAGAGCAGCAGTAGTACGAGGAGTAGTAGCAGCAGTAGTTGTAGTAGACCTCGTAGTAGCAGTAGAAGTAGTAGTGGGAGTAGTAATAGTAGGAGTCGTCGTCGTAGTCGTAGTAGTCGTTGTAGTAAATGTAGACGCAGTAGTGGTAGTGCCATCGCCGACGAGGAACCCCAGCGAAGCATGCCGACAGTTGTCTGGTGCAAGCATGTGTCTGTTTCCCTGTACGTGTATTCTATGGTCCGAAGCAGGAGGAGTCGGAAGAGGAGGCGGGAGGGAAGGAGTTGGGAGGCAAGACAGAGGGCGGCCGTCGTCGAAACCAGCGATTTTTCCCGACCAGCGTTGTTGTCGTTGCCACTCTGGCTTCTAGTATTGGAGTGTGGCTGTGAGCTTCGCTCCGCCTACCCGTAATAGTCTCCGCCTACTAGCATTATCTTTGCGGTTGGCATGGAGAAGCGCCTGTGCTTTGTTGTACTTTTGCTTGCCACGGGGGCTCCTGGAAGCGAGCGCGCAGAATATTGGTTGCTGGCACTCTCGCTTCATGTTGAGCTTCCACAGTGCGGTCGGCGCGCGGCACTTTGTTTCCCATGGCTTCGAAGGTGATGGCGATGACGATGACGATGATGACGAAAGGACAACGACGGCGCCGACGACGACGACCACGACCACCACGTCAATGGTGACTTGGCTTGCGGCCCGAACGCACGCGCCTACTGTGTTTTTTGGCACGAGGTGGCTTGTGTGCGCAAATTTCGCACGTAGCCGAGCACAGCTACGGGATCTCCATTTTTGCATCTCATGTGAGTAATATTCTTCTCCATTCGCCCCGCGTTCGTGTCAGCAGGTCGTCGTGGCGGCTAGCGCTCGGCGACACGCAGGCACGGCGGTCATCGCGAGATGTCTCAGAGACGCGCCACTTTCGAGATTTTCTCGGCGCGATTCATCGTCACTGCGACATCAGACCGTGGATTCCCCTCCACACCTATACACGCAAGTACTCAATACAGAAGCGCGCATAAATCAAAGGCGGTCCGACACACATGAAGAAAGCACAGAAAGACATGCACAGAAGTTCAACGTTGTCCTCTGCCTCTGCCCAAGAGTGTAAGAGTGGTGCGCCATTTTTCCTGCGGATGTTGAGTAGGCACATGTGGAGTGGAGGTCTGGGAGTCGAAGTCCCAAGTGTCGTCTGCCGCGCTCGCGCGCAGGTG